AGTAGTTAAATTTAGGATGTGTCAAGCAAGATATGATAGAGTAAATCGTCTTCTCCCAGTGTAACTCATGGTCTATCCTCAGATCCAATGGGCTCGCAAGTCCATCCCGAGCTATCCTCCTGCTTGATCCCTCGAATTTGGTAGAACCAAAGGCCGGGCGGAAAACTGGATTATGTAAACATAAGATAAATGTTTGTTTATTTTGTTTTGTTTGTGATGTTTGCACTCAAAACCTGGCTTATTAATTAGCTTTAGGAATATTAATTATCCTTACGCATTATTCATCAATTAGTAATAAACATCCACGTGACAAACCTTAAACAAAATTCGAGATGGAAAAAGCGAGCAGAGCAGACGAGCAACGAGCAGACGAGCCGACGAAGCAAGTCGCGCGAGAGCATCAACGACGGGAGAAAACACAAGATGGCTCTTCACGAGTCAATGTCAAAGCTTCCCAGGGCTCTATCACGGCGGTTACAGCCAGCCTTTTCCTCCCAGCTCCCGGCATACCGTCGCAATGCCTCTTCCGAATCATCATCTCCCTCTCCCCTAGACGACCTCGAACCCTCCTCATCCTTTTCCACACCTCCATTGCCCGAAGAAAAGATAAAAGAATTCGACCCAGTAGCCAGAAGCAAAGCTAGAAAGCACCAGCTTCCACGAAGTCGGTATGTTAGCACCAATTAACCCCCATATCAAGGAGGCACTCCATCCCTAACAACCCTCTAGATACCAATACCGCTCTCCCAAATATGACCGTGGCCCTCTTAATCCTCACAGACCTCCGCCAACATCACATCCTTCCTCACGTCTTTTCGTTCCGGGCCCATTCAGCTTAACCCGAGTCGAACAGACGTACAATTCCACAGTAGCCTCCGACATCCTTACACTCTGCTACGTGCATAAACCGCATGGTTTCAAGGCTCCCCCTCCCGCCCCCCGTCTACGGCAATGGGACGATAGCTCGCCGTATCATAAGAACAGACCTCTTCGCGGACCCAGAGGAGGAGACGTTTTGCGCCTGCTCAGGAAACCAATCACGTTCAACAATATTCCTGAATTGTCTGGCGTGACTGTTCACTCTTACGTTAAGGAAGCTGTGGCGAGCTCCTCGTTCCTGCATGTAGCTGGTATGACGCTACAGGCCATCACGAACGTGCGAGTAAAGACTCACAAGGTCAAGACGGGTGTGCCTAAATGGGGCCTTATACCGGGCCACAAACACGTTGCTGCCACTGCTGAGCTGGAGGGAGAAGACATGTACCATTTTTTCAGCAAGTTGGTGGACGTGGTTATGCCTAAGTTTAAGGACTGGAAGGGTGTGAAGGTTACAAGCGGTGATGGAAGCGGGAATATCACACTTGGTCTGGAGCCGTCGATGGTTGCCATGTTCCCTGAAATCGAAGTCAATTACGATATGTAAGTGTGCCATGTTGGTATGGAGGTGAAAGTGAAAGTGCCCTTTGAACTAATGAAATGTGAAGGTATCCTCCCCGTATGATTCCTGGCTGCCACATTACCATCAAGACTACTGCTCGCACCGACAAAGATGCCAGACTATTGCTTAATGCTCTGGGTGTTCCATTTAATGGGAAGCTCCTGAAGTAAAGAAACACTCCCTGTATGTGTGAGATGTATACTATGTCTATCGCCAGCGTTATAAATGACGGGGTAGACACGCCTTTGTACCCTTACAACCATTCCATGCTGTGGTCATGTACCGGCAACTCTTTTCACCTCACACCATCTAGTTGCGCTACTTGCACCTGTACCATAACACACCGTCAATAGAAGAAGAATAAAGTGACTTCCTTGTATATGGATGCTTTTCAACTATGTTAGATAAGCGCATTCTATCGAATACAAGTTGGCAGATAACGCGATGTAAATGACTTGCATTCGCTCATGAAATGAGATGATCAGACTAAAAACCCAAGCCAACCACATAATGACGGGAAATTCGTAGCTGGCATGACAAGGAGAGATATGAAATGTAAGATTTGAGAAGAGCTCGGCTCTATTTTGTACAAGTTGAAATTGCCCGACAATGATTAAAAGAAATGAGAAAATATAGATAGAATAGATAAACCAAAAAGGAAAAAAAAAAGACAAGTCGATCTTCCGGGGTATTTCTTCTACTTTTGAATTACCCAGGTGTATATATAGAATATATATGTCCAGAGTGATAAGTGAAGTGCAAAAATGGTAAAAATTTTGGGTGCGGATGAATAAACGTAATGGATGGAGAGATAGGGAGATAGCGAGGAAGGTAAAGAGATAGATAGGTATATAAGGTTGAAGAGCTGTTGGGAAACCTCACGTCAAGCAATAGTTTCCAAGAAAGGGTTGCTCAACAACTCATGTGCACTCGGCCGTTTCTCATGATCAATTTCGAAGGTCATGTCTAGGAAGGCCATGGCCTCTTTGCTTGCGTTCTCTGGTGGCGGGGGACGAGCCTGGTTGTTACCAATGGCGAAAATGGCTTGTAACTGACTGCAATCCGGGAATGGATGGACACCAATGAACATCTCGACGACAAGACAGCCTAGACTCCATATGTCGGCCTTTTTGGTATGTGCTGTTTGACGCACGACTTCGGGAGCCATCCAGTACACGCTGCCTTGAAGGGAGGGGCGGTGCAGATGGTTTGATGGGCCCTTTGCGCCGGAACCAAGCATGGTGGATGCTTCGACGCGTTTGGAAATACCAAAATCGGAAATCTTGATACCTCCTTTGTTGTCGACGAGGACGTTGGCGCCCTTGATGTCGCGGTGTATAATGTCCCGGGAATGAAGGTATTCCAAGCCCGCGAGGATTTGACGAACAAAGTTGCGGATGAGAGGTTCCTGGAAGGTGTTGTACTGTTTTAGCATAGTTGCGATGGAGCCTCCGGGGACGTATTCGAGGAAAATGTTCAGATACTGGTCATCTGTGGAGGTGCCTAGGTACTGCACGATGTTTTCATGGCGGAGCCCCTGAAGGAGGCCGATCTCGTGCTTGAGAGCGGAGACCATGAGGTTCTTCTTCTGGTCGAATTCGGTACCCTTGGTAGCGGAGGGTAGTTCGACTTGTTTGACGGCCATGAGTTCTCCAGTGACGGCATGGAGGGCGAGGAAGACGCTGCCAAAGGAACCTTCACCGATCAGGGAGCCCTTCATCCAGTTCTTGTTGCCGAAGTTGTTACCTGCCAGGAAATCGGCCAGCCCATCGTCTACCTCGTCCCCATCCTCGGCCACAATCATGCTGAGACGCTCGTTCATGGACCCGCCGCCATCAGTTGCAGTGACGCTGAGCGTCTCATCCAAGAAAGTCTGTCGTTCCGGTTCTTCGATGGCAGGGTTATCTGAATTGTCATCGAAGGAGACGTAGGACTTGCGGCTGCCTTGGATAGGGGATTCTTCCTGTAGGGGTTCTAGAGCGGATGAAGCAATGGAGTCTCGGAAAGATGTTGCGGGGATATTAAACCTGGAGACGGACAAGGGTCGACCACCGGCCCGGGAAGGAGGGTTAGAGGGTGTTCCGGCGGATAGCCATGTGTCTGCAATGCTGGGGATAGGGGGAGCATCCTTCATGCTCGAGGCTAAGCTGACACCACTCATGACGGACAGACGGCTCGCAGCTCGGCTCATGCGCTGTGATCGGCGAACGGACAGCCGCATGGTCTTTTCGATGTCTTCCTTCTGGTGACTGGGGAAGTAAGATGTGAGCTCGTGGATGATCATCTCACTTGGCGGACGTGCGCCGAAGAAGGAACGTAGCTTGGTGCTCTGGTCACGCTCTGCTGTATCGTTGTGCTGTTGACGCCTGTGGTCTTCGCGTGAACGATCGGTGATGGGCGACATGGGCTGTCGCAGATGGTCCCAGGACTCTCCAGTGAGCTTCTGCAGCTTGATCTGGTTCCGTAGGTTGGTTGTGTTCATGGCGTTCATGTGGGCAACCTGGCTCTCGTCCGTGGCTAGACGGGCAGCAAGTTCAAGTTCATCTAGATCCGGCTCTCCAGCATGAATGTTCCGTAGAATGAGACGACCTCGTTCAGACCGGTTAGAACCATCGCAGATCTGCAGCAATTCGACATCAGAAATGCGTCTGCAGTTGGCTGGGTTCGGGTCGAGGCCATCCAGAACGTAGAAACAGTAGTTTTTGTAGTGGCTTTCAGGGATAAGAAGCTTCTTCAGGACCGAGACCATGATATCGTCAGCAGTCTTGCACTGCTTGATGTTGAGAGCCTTGGTTTGTCCACCAGTGTGTATGACTCGGATGACGGGGGAATGAGTTGGTAGCGAGCTTATGGTGAGTCCATCGTTGCTGGGATTCTGGCGGATATGGGCCACCGACCGGGGAGGCTGAGGCGGGTCATTGGAGGCCGTGGTGTGTCTGGAGGTGCTGGAATTCGAATGAGTGTATCCGCCAAAGTAGTTTGACCCCTGTTCACGGCGAATAGATTCCATTGGACTGGCACCATTGTATCGGTACTGCCGGAGCTGGCGGTCAGGCTCGGCTAATGGGGAAGAAGGCCTCGATGAGGGTTTGGTAGCATTGTAAGTGTGCTGAGGAGGTTCATTGCGAGACCACTGGCGGCCTGAAGGTTGGTATCGACTGCTGTTGTTATTTGACGGCCGGGAAGTCTCTGACGAGGGTGGTGTGTATCTTGAAGCGTCCAAGGCAGCCAGCGAGTCCTATGTGGTGTTAGTTACGTCCAGACTACCAGAGAGTAATGAGGGCAGACGCACTCTGTTTATCTTTTTGCGGTATGTGAGGGCTCTGTTTCGTAGCTGTTTGACGGCAACGTAGATCCGGACTCTGTCTCCGACCTTCTTGATGCCCATTTCCTGGAGTATCTTCTGGTCACAGTCGAGCAGGTTGTCACCCGTGAAATGATTTGCTATGAAAGTCAGCATCATCCATTGATATACATTCAATATATGTATTTCAGAGGGTGCTACCTTTGAAGAGGGGTTCATACTGCCCGCATCGTATGCTATGCAGCCACTCGCCGACCTTTTTCTCATCCCACGACCTGCACAGAGACTCAAAAAGTTAACAGCCGAGACAAGCAACTGGACGAATGCAGAAAGGCCTACCGGACAGGATCTAGCTGGTCTGCACCCTCTGAGAACTCGGACTCGGTCGGACTGGTGAAGAGCCCGTCCCTGGACGCAACTCCATTGGCGGGCTTCTGGAGGGCGAGGTTTGTGTAAGACGAGGAGGCGGCGGAGGCAGAGGGAGGGAGCCCGGCCTGCTGAGGCGCCATTGGGAAGCTCTGGCCGTAGAGAGCAGGCTGGGAAGTGATCATGGCCGTCGTGGCCGTGCCGTACCGTGGTGGGTGTAGCGGGGAAGGGGAGCTATCTATGCCTTTATCGTGCCGTCAAAAGCTCATGGTGGTCCAAAGGTCCGGGATGGTGAGTTGGGTGAATTAGTTAGTTGTTAGCTAGCTAGTCTGCGAGGTCAAAGAGGGATCGACCCTGGGCCAGCCACGAGATCTGAGAGTGCTCGACCGGGACAGAGGCCTGCTCCTGTATATCAGCGGCGCGGTCGAGGTCGAGAGATCGACGTCTGGTGGTGAACGAGAAGAAGAAGATGTTGTTGTTGTTGCTGAGAGTCGCGAGAAAAGGCGGTTGAAGCGGCCTGATTCAGTGCCCGATGCGGTTAGCGGCGTCTATCTCGAGATCAGACGAAAAGAAGTTGATATCAAAGACGAAGAAGACGATATTAAAGACAGAGACAGAGATGGAGATAGAAGAGACAGAAGGATAAATAGATAGAGGAGACGACGGACTTATAGGACGGGCTGGCAGTGGCTGCGTGCTGCTGGTTTCCGTCCTGCGCTCCCGTCTGCCTTTCTTTCTTCTGGCAGGCAAGCTGAAACCTCCCAGGGGCTCGCTCCGTCAGTCGGGCAGCCGGAGACTGGCGAGCCCTGAAAACTAGGTGAACGGCTCTACTTTGCTGCTCACTACGGAGCCGGTTGGGGCAGCTGGCAGCTCGCAGCAGGCAGCAGCCAGCAGGCGAAGGGCTGATCGGGGACTGGGTGAGCGGATGCCCTGTCCATCACTGCTCTATATTTGCCATCCCCTATCCGTATACTCTTCTCCATCTCCATCTCCGCCATCTGCTACTATCTACTACTATCTGCTACTAACTGCTAGTTGCTTCTGCTGCTTCTGCTGCTTCTGCTCGTCCTCCATGACTAAGCTGCCCCCCTCACCAGCCAAAAAACTCCGACTCCAGCATCACCGCGACAAAGACGAAGACGCAGACGAAGAAGACGACGACGACGACGACGACGACGAAGAGCCGTGATGGACGCCGACGACGCTGCGGCTGCGTCAGGCCAGCGGCCGCGCAAAAAGAGGGCGACGGCCACCCGCAAGTCGCTCACTGCGAGCACTGCAACCGGCCCTTTCGCCCGCCTCGAGCATCTCCAACGGCATCTCCGCACCCGTTAGTCCTTGTCCGCCGCATGACATCAACACATCCGTTAATACACAGTGTGTACTAACAGCTTATAGATACCAAGGAGAAGCCGTTTACCTGTGAGATATGCTCCAAGTCGTTTGCCCGCAGGTGAGCTCTTCTCCCGTCATCGTCTTGCGCTCAAGGCTGACTGATGATGGAGTGACCTGCTTGTCCGCCACGAGCGGCTTGTGCACCCGGCTGAGGCGGCCGCCAGGGCTGACAGGCGAGCGGCCGGCGCTGCTGCAGCCTCGGCCGTCCCCATCTCTGTGACGTCTACGGCCACTGGTACTCCTGTTCCTGCGGCTACTATAGCAGCTGTGCCTGTGCCTGTGTCTGTGCCTGGAACTGCAACGGGGCCAGGGACAGGGGCAGGAACAGGAGCAGAAACAGGAACGGCGGACCACCTGAACCCGTCGTGGGGTTACGACTTGAACCTGCTCTCCCATGCAGCCAGCCATGTAGCTCTCGAAGGTCGGGGTCATGGTCATGGTCATGGGCAGCCGCAGCTTCAGGTTCACGGACCGGGACAGCTCCAGGTCCAGCAGCAGCACGACAGAAAGGCCGTTCCCGTCTATGAGCGGCCCATCTCGGAGAACTACGGGGTCGAGCCATCGATACTCGACCTCGCCGATCTTGGTGACCCCGTGCAGGACTTCACCACCTTCCTCGAGAGCGTTGGTCTCTCCTCCGACTGGGACTCGGGACTGTTCAACTCGGTAGAGCCTGAACCGCTGCTGTCGACCCCTATACCCGCCCTAGATGGCTCTACCAAGCAACAGTCCTTTGGTGCAGCTCCCAGGTTTGCTCAGGAGTTAGACTCCCGGAACATAGCTCAGCCTGCTCAAACAAACAACCACTCCAGCAGCGGCAGCGGCAGCAGCAGCCGCAGACGAAGCACCTTCGTTTTCAAACTTTGGCTCTCGACTGCCATCTCTCCAACCAGAAGCACAGGACTCCGATGCCGGTACCTCAGAGCACAACTCCCAGCCCCGGCCAGCGTGGGACATCTCTACCCAGGAACACCAGCTCTTCACGGCCAGACTAGAAGACTTTGCCCATGTTCTTCCCAAGAACTTTGTGCGGCCTTCTAGACATGCTCTTTCCCGCTACATGGCTGGCTACATCAGTGGTCTCAACGAGCACTTGCCCTTCATCCATGTCCCAACACTGTCCGTGGCCAGGTGTCCGCCAGAACTGACCCTCGCTCTCGCTGCTGCTGGCTCCCACTACCGGTTCGAAAACAGCAGAGGCATCGAGCTCTTCCACGCTGCAAAGGCTATCTTACTAGAACGCCTACGACGTCGGGACTCCAGGCGCACTACTACTCTCCCCTCGAATTCGCAGTGGGGGCCCAACAGCACTCCTCGGGCGTCCTCGTCGGTAGTATCAAATCCAAGTAACAGTCCATTCCCTCAGCAGCAGTTCATACCCTTCATGGACAATACCTCGCTGCCAGGTGAGGATGCTGAGGGACAGATGGAGATCATCCGTACTTTCTTACTACTTACCATCTTTGCCTCCTGGGAGAGCCATCCAGACATACTTCGCGACATGCTTGCCCTACAAAGTACCCTTGCCCGTCTAGTCCGAGACCATGGCCTTAGAGAGTCTTCAGTCACCACCGCCCCGCCAGAATCGCTCTCCTGGCCAGACTGGTCCAGGCTGGAAGCAGACAGGCGCACAAAGCTCGTCGTCTACTGCTTCTTCAACCTCCATTCTATCATGTACAATATCCCCCCCTTAATCCTAAACTCCGAGCTCAACCTCAACATGCCCTGTTCCGCTGATGAATGGAAAGCAAATACCGCCAGCCAGTGGCGCCGTGTTCGTCGTCCCTCATCAGACACCAACAACACTCCCTCGTCCTTCCAGGACGCCCTCGCAAATCTCTTCACCAAATCCTCCGCTACTACTACCACCACACCACCCCCTTCCAACCCTGTGTCCCCACTAGGTAACTACGTCCTCATCCACGCCATCATCCAACAAATCTTCTTCGCCCGCCAACTCTGTCTCTCCGCTCCTTCTATGGCCGGCACCAGCCTACGACCCGACGATCTAGCCGTCATGGGTAGCTCCCTTAGTGCCTGGAAACGCGGCTGGCGTCAGACTCCCGAATCGAGTATCGATCCACAAAACCCCGCTGGGCCCATAGCTTTCACTTCCACAGCTCTGCTTGGTCTAGCATATATACGCCTACACCTCGACCTCGGCCCATGCCGTCGCCTCGTCACCCAGGACCCTGTCCAAATCGCCCATGCACTCAACGACTCTCCACCGCTGACCCGCAGTTCCCGTCTGATAATGGCTCTGTTACACTCCGCTCATGCCCTTTCAATCCCTGTCCGGCTAGGTATTGACTTCGTGGCTCGCACTCACTCCTTTTTCTGGTCAATACAGCACTCAATATGTTCTCTTGAATGCGCATTCCTCCTCTCGCGCTGGTTGCTCTCCATACCTGCCACCCAACATGATCAGAATCTGTCAGACCATGAGCGAAAACTCCTTCTCTGGGTCAAGGGCATGATAGATGAAACTGACATGTCTTCCTCCGTCAGTGCAGCCACGGAGGCAGAACTCATCACCGACCCAGCGCTAATGAGGCGGCTTAGCGTTGCCGTTGTGCGTGTCTGGTCAAGGACCTTTAAGGGGAATACGAGCTGGCCTATCGTAGACCTCATCGGCGCCAGCCTGGAAATATACGCTGATTTACTCGATATATAACTTCCATATACTGCTTCCTTGTGCTACCTTTTCCTCATACCCCTTTGTTTGTCACAGCCAGCGTGAATAGCGAGGCCTAGCATGGTCATGAATGATTTTTTTATCATGTTATTTATATTATACCCCCTATAATAGACCCAGTGACCGACCCTTACCAAGTTACCCCAGCATATGCAAAACAAACGCCAAGTAATATCGACTAGAAATAAACAAGAAGAACCCATCTATTTCTTCCCTGACTTCCGCACCGCAACGCTATGAGGTACAAACCTTAATGCAGACATCGACTTCGTAAGGCCGTCTAGCCCATCCTCTTGCATATCAACCCGCCCATTCATAGACGATACATCATTCTTGTTCGTATCATCATACAGGACATGATCCCTTCGTCTTAACGGCGTTGCACCAGGTGAGGTAACGCCATTCCCTCTCGAACTAGCACTGCCCGTCTCCAGCGAGAAACGACGTTGATGCATAGGCACACTCGACCTCAGCATAGAACTATACTTGTCTATTCCATCATTTACAATATAGAAATTATACCCCTATAACCAATTAGCAAGCATACCACAACACACCGATAATAAACATGATCTCAACTACCTTCGGAAAACAGTGCTTATCAATCAAATGTCTCCTCCGCTTCTGAGGCGTCGAACATCTCCTCTCACACCCCTCCACAAAACATCCAAACTACACAACATCAGCCCATGTCATTCATCTTCAAATCAACTATAGCGTAACAGGGAAAAATACCGTCTTCTCACCCCTCTCCTTCTTTTCTTCCATGACGGGATCATGGTTTTCCTCAATGTGTCGGGTAAGCAGTAGATCAGAAGGGAAGTTCTTCGTACATTCCGAGCACCGGTTTACGTGCGTCTGCAGGTAATGTGATTCATACGCCTCGTAGGTAGGGAAGGTTAAATCGCCCTTATGCGGGGGCAGAGAGCAATGCATTGATGTGTTTGGTTGTTCAGGCGAATGCTCCATATGAGGATATTTGTGTCGTGAAGGGGATGAGGGTATCGTTTTTGATGTTGATGATAGAGCATCTGGTGGTTCTGGGGAAGTGTCACGAGAGCGTTTCGACATGGTGGGTTAATCTGCTAGTTATTTGGGCTGATCCTGATAGGAAGCGGTGAGTGCCTGGTCTGATGTAGGGTATTTATGCACGATTCTGGTTTTGTATAGTTGATTATTCAGCCCAATGGCGTTGAGTGCTTTTGATTAATTGGGTATCTCATATTCTGTAGCTTTGAATAGTCCACTACTCTGGATCTTGCAGATTAAATATAAACAGGAAGTAGTTGAGATGCTGGAAGTTGGTGACCGCGTCAAAAGTCTACAAGCGCAAACGACAGTAGCTCTATTAGTCATC